GGTGATAATATTTCTGTGACTACCCTCTCCTTCTCATGAAATAGGATGAAGGCTCACATTGGGTATGTAATACCTTAATGCAATACATTAATTATCAATGGATTAGCTAAAAAGCAGATATAATTTGATCAGTGTCACAAAAAGTATATTGTGCACTATTCCTTTTTCCAGACAATATTTTTTGATAGCTTATTCCCAAATAGAATTCGATCTTTTGGGGCCTAGATACTGATTGAACATGCTCATGTGTTTTTGTAAAATTTTGTAACAATAAAATATTTTAACTCTCATAGTTATAATAGGATTGATTTTTGTTTCACTCTCCAGCTTCCTCCCCTCCATCACACTTGCTCTTCAGCTGAAAGGTGTACAGTGGCATAGGACATTTTTGAGATTTAATTAAGGGGATGGTGAATGGGGAGATTTTTTTGTGTGGATTTAGTGACATTTATTTACCTGGTTTGCACCTACCTCCAAGTACAGCTAGCTGCCTTGGTATAGAAATGGTTTCTAGAAATAGCCCTACCATCCAATGTGCTGGGCTGGCCCATACATAGGACGTATGCAGCCATGAACAGGTCCTGTGGTGCCTGGTACTGGTAGTATGTGGGCATGGAGGAGATTCAAGATTTGAGAGGTATGAATGAATTCAGAAGCTAAACTGTGGAAAATCTTATAGTCAAAGATCAAAAAGCAACTTAATAGAGGTTTACCAAAATTTGACAGTATTCCTGAAAATTCGTGTGACTTCACTCATAATAAATTGTGACACTAAAAGAAAGTTTTCAAAATTTCAATAACAATTTCAATTACGTATGTGAGAGGAAAGATTGAACTGTATTTCTATTTTTTTCTTTATTAACTATTACGAAGTTGTCATAAGAAGAGGCAATCAAAGAGTATGTGGCTGGCCAGGCATGGTGGCTCATGCCTGTAATCCCAGCACTTTGGGAGGCCGAGGCGGGTGGATAACATGGTCAAGAGTTCAAGACCAGTCTGACCAAGATGGTGAAACCCGTCTCTACTAAAAATACAAAAATCAGCCAGGCATGGTGGCAGGTGCCTGTAATCCCAGCTACTCAGGAGGCTGAGGCAGAGAATTGCTTAAACCCGGGAGACAGAGGTTGCAGTGAGCCTGGGTGACAGAGCGAGACTCCATCTCAAACAAAACAAAACAAAAAAAGAGTATGTGGCCAAAATCATGCAGATAAAAGTGTCATAGGAGACTGGACATGGTGATTCATGCCTTTAATCACAGCACTTTGGGAGGCCAAGACAGACGGGTCACTTGAGTCCAGTAGTTAAGACCAGCCTGGGCAACGTGGTAAAACCCCAACCCTACAAAAAAGTAAGAAAAGTTGATCAGGCATGGTGGCTCGTGCCTATAGTACCAGCTACTCAGGAGGATGAGAGAGGAAGATTGCTTGAGTCCAGGAGGTTGAGACTGCAGTGAGCTAAGATGGCACCACTGTACTCCACAAAAAAAAAAAAAAAAAAAAAAGCACGATAGATATGGGTCAGGAACTTAATACAAACATTACAAATATTACATTATCTCTTCTGGATTTTGTGATGTCTATGTAGGCATTTTGCATTAAAAAATTATAATTTGTTATGTTTTTTCTTTCCAAATAAATGTTCATTTTTGGAATAATTTTTTTATTGTTTTAGTTAAAGAGAACCCCCAGACTGAATACATTCCAGGCCTCACAGATCGGTATTTGCCCTTGATTCCATCTATTCCCTACTAATTAAACCAATCCTCTTCTTTGTCTGTGATTAGTTTAGAGGTGGACAGTCTCTGCCCATTGGCTGTGAACCAGGAAGCAGGTAGCCCTCATTGCTGGCAGTTATCTTGATGGACGCCAACCCAAGAGGCAGGCAGAACTGAGAGGACTTTGGAGCCTGAGGGAACAGTGCTTGAAACCTGATCTATCTTTGGACGCACCATATAGAAGTTCTCTAGTGTTTATAATATCAGAATTTTCACAAGCAAAGCTCATTCTTATATTTAGTTGAATAGTTGAAATTATAAAGCTAGGTTAAAATGCAAACAAATGTAGAAAAATAGTGCTCATTTTTCTAAAAGACTTTCCGTTGGTATACAAACCATTCTAATCATTACATCTCTGATAGTTTATAACATTGAAGCTATAAGTAAGTATCAATCTGGATGTTTTAAGGTACTACTTAATTAAATGTTGCTAATTTATTTTAAAACTGCTAATTTATTCAATGTGAAAATATAGAAGACTAGGAATAAGAAAAAATGAATTCATGTATACCTCTATAAATTTTATTTTGATGTACTTCCTTCTGATCATTTTTCTATGTATATGTTTTATTTGAAAAAATATTTATCGTACTTTATATAAAATTTTATCTTCTCCTTTTTTTTCTGTTATTCCCTGTAGTTTAGCACAGAAGGGCATCCATGTTCACAAATTCAGGGGGCTTTTTCTCATTGTAGTCTATGTGAACGGTGTCCACTGGAGTTGTGCAGTCAATACCCTGTGTGACTGTATGAGGCAGCCATTTACATCTGGGCATCTGAGCCTTCATGTTTACCTAGAGCATCTTATGGTACTGTCCTAACTACAGATTTGGGAATAAAAAGCAGGGCAAACCTTTCCTGGCTGCCTTCCAATACCACCATATAAATTTAATATTCAGCCTTTGTGCCTTTTTCTCAGGCTGGCTTTGTCTGTAGCTGTGTCCCACAGCTCTCCTCTTACAAGGTTACATCTATGCTTTTTCTTCACCTTGGAATAATCTGCTGACTCCAGTGGATGAAAAAAAGTGTTAAGTAAATTAACCTCATGGCTGTTTTAATGATCGCATTTCATGGTTATATCATTTTGGGTGGTTCCAATTTGACTTCCTTCTCTCAGTTTGTTTGGATTGATTTTTCTATCTGCTCATTTTGAGAAATCTATACTGTTATTATCCTTGCCCTATCTTGAGAAATAGTTAATCTTCATGATTCTATTTTCTTTTTGTCAAAAAATGAAATATTACTCATAACTCTATAAAAGTACCTAAATAATGGTGAAAAGCCAAATTACATAACCAATTGTAATGATAAAATATCCTATTTCTTTAATAGTGAAAATACTAACTTACTGGTAACTGCAGACATATTTTTACACTTAATCGATAATTTTTAGTTCTCTGATAGCTCCTGCCAATTCCTCTTACGCAGATATTTTGCCAATATAGGATGTGGGTAGATGAGGGATTACTCAGAAAAACGGAACCTCATTCTTGGCTGATAGGATGATGAACTGTGTGATAAAATGCATAACGTTTTCCTCCACCCTTGGTTCACAAAACTTTTAGTTTTCTAACTTTTATTTTATGCAAACAGGGTTGGCTGCTCAAATCAAGCTTTTGAGAGAGTACAGCAAACAAAGCAATTTCTTAAAGGTTAAGCCCCTCCTCTATAAAAGGAAAGAAAGGGTGAGAATTAAAAGGGAGAGAGGTAGAAAGGGAAGGCTAAATTGTTAGAAAAAGAGGCAAGAGAGGCAAGAGAGGGGTGAAGGAGGAGGAGCAGGAGTGAGAGAAGCAAAGTAATCTGGTCAATTATTTTGCCTAAAAGTTTGAGAGATATCTGCTTGAATTGATGTAGGAAATTAAGCAGTTTGATCTTTGTTCTAATATTTGTCTTGCAATAAGACCATCTTATTTATCAAATGTTATGTAGAGAAAGAGGAGATATTATTTTTTTTGAGACTCTGGAGAACCTAGACACCTGTCTAAATTATATGAAAGTTCTGTAAAGTTATTAGCATATATATGTATCTATCCACACACACATATATATTTTTTGAGACAGAGTTTTGCTCTTGTTGCCCAGGCTGGAGTGCAGTGGCGCAATCTCAGCTCACTGCAACCTCTGCCTCCCAGGTTCAAGTGATTCTCCTGCCTCAGCCTCCCAAGTAGCTGGGATTACAGGCATGTGCCACCACGCCCAGCTAATTTTTGTATTTTTAGTAGAGATGGGGTTTCATCGTGTTAGTCAGGCTGATCTCAAACTCCTGACCTCAGGTAATCCACCGGCTTCGGCTTCCCAAACAAATATTTTTATAAAACATATTCTGTAGTATAAATACTCTGTGGAGGGTGCCACCAAAGGTGATATTAAACCTTTCTTTTCTTTAAGACAGAGTCTCACTCTGACACCCAGGCTGGAGCACAGTGGCGCAATCTCGGCTCGCTGCAGCCTTGATCTTCCCTGGGCTCAGGTGATCCTCCCACTTCAGCCTCCTGAGTAGCTGGGACGACAGGCGCACGCCACCATGCATGCCACCATGACTGGCTAGTTTTTCAGGCCTGGCTAATTCGTTGTTGTTATTGTTGTTGTATTTTTTTGCAGAGAGGAGGTTCCACCGTTTGCCCAGGCTGGTCTTGAACACCTGGGCTCAAGCAATCAGTCCACCTTGGCCTCCCAAAATATTAGGATTATAGGCATGGACCACTGTACTCGGCCTTAAAAAAAAAAAAAAAAAAAAAGGCAGAGAGTCACTGTGTCTCCCAGGTTGATCTCTAATTGCTGGGTTCAAGCAATTCTCCCACCTCAGCCTCCGGAGTAGCTGGGACTACAGGTTCACACCACCATGCCAAGCCAATGCTATTTTCAAACAGCTCAATGGGAGCAGAAAATACATTATGTGTGCTCAAGTCATCTGCACCATGGCCCTCTGTGTTACTAGTGTGTTTGAAATTTTGTGCATCAGTAAGAATTTCAGTGACTCACTAGGCTTTATGAACCAATATATGTAGGAGTGGGTTACCCAGCAACCACTCCATGGCTTTAAGATGAGAAGGTAGGGGAAGTGAGGAAGTCACACTTACCTGTCTGCTGCCTGCCTTCCTTCTCCCACAGCCATGCTCTTGGCTGGGGAGAAAGGGTGGATGTAGAGCCTCCAAGAGCTGCGGTACTATTAAAAATCCATTGGGTTTCTTTCATAAACACATAGATGCTTTTCTAAATCCAGCAGAAATCTGACTCCCTGACCTGATCGTTAGATGTGTGGTCAGAATCCCAGCACATGAACTGGCACTGCTTCTGGGAATTATGAGTCAGCCTTTCATGTTCTTCCTGGTGTTGAAGCAAGTCTCTGCAGAGGAGAAAGAGCAATCTGTCAGGTGAGCTCATCACTGCTATCATCACTGTCTAAGCTCTGACTTCCCAAGAGACCATGCAATGTATGTGAAAGAGCCCTTTTCGAATTCCAGAAACATCACTGTCTTGTTATGTGACCTTGGACATGGTTACTTAAGTTCTCAGAGCCTCAGTTTTCTTGGTAAAAATGGAAGAGTTGTCACCGAAACTTAAACAGTTAATGTATGGGAAGTATCATGCAGATCTAGAAAAGTGAAAATATTATTTTATAATACTGTGGACACAGTATAAAGCACATTAGATATTATTTATGCCCTTTACATTTTCAAAAGTTTTTGAGATATCTACAGTATAAGGAGAGGAGAAAGACCTATCAAACAGTAGATGACTATTTGTTAGGTCACTATTCACTCAGCACTTACTGGTCAATATTCTGTGCAAGGTCTGTGGGTTACTGTGGTGATACGAGAATCTGTAAGATATATGGTGTGTCTTTAAAGAGTTTATAAATCTAGGAGGAAAGATTGAACATAGACACAAGCAATTCAGAAGAGAACATGTGCTCTGTGTAAATAAAATGTGCACATAAAGTAACTGCTATCGCACTTCAAAGCAGACTAATTCTGAGGAAGACTCACTGTAGAAGAAACGCAATCCAAGCCAGTTCCAACATGTGTTGAGTATCCATTATGAGGACTGCTCAGGTATTTGTATATTCAATAAGGACTCTCAGACAAAAGAAACTGCCTGAGTCAAGAGGAAGGTAGAAATACATAATGTAAGGTGCAGCAGGGAACAACAATAAGCTCACCTGGAAGCAGTGCCCTAATAAAGAAAGATAAACTTGAAATCATTTTGAAGAAGTGCATAACATCATGGATGCCCTTACATATAAATACAACATTTGGTCTTTTGTCCTGCAGATAGTGCAAGTAATGCAACCTATGGAAGCCCTTAAGAAGAAAAAATCTTTTTTTATTTTTATTTTTATTTTTTTTGAGATGGAGTCTCGCTCTGTCGCCAGGCTGGAGTGCAGTGGTGTGATCTTGACTCACTGGAGCCTCTGCCTCCTGGGTTCAATAAATTCTCCTGCCTCAGCCTCCCAAGTATCTGGGACTACAGGTGCATGCTACCATGTCCAGCTAATTTTTAGATTTTTAGTAGAGACAGGGTTTCACCATGGTGGCCAGGATGGTCTCGATCTCCTGACCTTGTGATCCACCTGCGTTGGCCTCCCAAAATGCTGGGATTACAGGCATGAGCCACCGCGCCCGGCCTAAAAATCTTTCTTAAAAAAATATTTTTGTTCTGCTTGCAGATATATCATACATGGTCTTCTTCTCTGTTGAACTGAATTGGCTCTGATTCTGGGAAAGATTATGTAAGAATTCTTCATTTTTGATAATAGAATTTCAACTTTGTTATCAGCTATTCTAGAACCCAAAGCTTCTGGAAATTTATTTTATTTTATTTTATTTTATTTTTTTGAGATGAAGTCTTGCTCTGTCACCCAGGCTGGAGTGCAGTGGTGAGATCTTGGCTCACTGCAACCTCCGCCTCCCCGGTTCAAGTGATTCCCCTGACTCAGTCTCCCAAGTAGCTGAGACTACAGGCACCAACCACCGTGCCCAGCTAATCTTTGTATTTTTAGTGGAGATGGGATTTCACCATGTTGGCCAGGCTGGTCTTGAACTCCTGACCTCAGGTGATCTGCCCGCCTTGGCCTCCTAAAGTGTTGGGATTACAGGCATGAGCCACTGTGCCTGGCCTGGAAATTTCTTAAGGCATTAAAATACAGTGGTTGAAACTCCTGGCACCACCCTTTTGTATATTGGTACCAAAAGAGGGATTTAAACAATTGATAATTGGAAGAGTCTGTCTTAGAGATATGTTGTCTCCTTAATGTCCCTACTCACTAGAACTCAAACATTAACATTTGTATCAGTCAGGGTTTAGTGGAAAAAAGAAACCACACCAATTATTTTAAGAGAGAATTGATACAGGGAAATTTAGTTATATAGATATTGGAGGACTGACGGGGAAAAAGGAACAAATACTCAGATAAAGTAATTGCAGAAAGCAGCTGCTACCAGTAGGCCTGTGGGGAAAGGTGAAAGGTTGGGGTTGTTGGAAACTACAAGCTTGGAGAAGGTGGAGCCTGGAATCCAGACCTCTGAGGTGAGGAAGTTGCCTGGATGGCACTGGTGCTTCAGAACGCAGAGGAGAATCCAGTGGAGCTGGAACCCAGATTTCAGAAGATACTCTGAGAGAGTGCCATGAACTGGGTTCTGGGAGATGGGGAAATAGTGGAAACTAGAACCAACTGCTACTAGAAAAAGCTAGAACTGCTGGGGTGAAGAACCACAGCTAGATGATACTGACAGGAATAGCAAGCAAACCGGAAGGAGTGCGTTCTCTAGCTCCCCCATTGGCAGAACCTAACCGGAAGCCAGGTGGCAAAATGACACTGGTGGTTACCCACAACCGGCTTCAGCATCACAAGGCCAAATATGGAAGAGTGGGTTTGATCCTGAAAGAGTACTAATAACTAGCACTACAGACACACAATTCACCATGATAACTTATTTACAGTTGAGAATTTTGAAATCTATACTGGCGTTCTGATTTAGTAGTTTTAGAGAGGGACTTAGAAATCCTCACCTTTGAAAAACAGCCTTGAATGATTTGATGCAGGACATCTTCTAAACACCCTTTCAGAAATGCCGCTCTAGTCTGTCTAAGCTAAATCCCTGAATCAAGTTAGAACAAGGGTTGGTGAAGTGCTCAACTCCACTAATTTAGGAGTTAAGCTCAATAATTAATTTTACTTTCTTAAGTTTTTTCATTAAAAAAATGTTTATATTAAGAGTGCCTCTGAGGTATCTTCAAAAACTGCAATTTAAAGATTTGTCCATTGTGGTATGCAACATCTCGCATTCACATATAATGTTTATAATTCTAAAACATATAAAAAGAAAATGATTAAAATGAGATAATATATACAAGTTCATGTGAAAAGGTAGGTTTTTCACATGAACTTGTATGTTTTTTCTTGTCAGTCAAAAGAAAAGAAAAGAAATAACACTTTGCATTTCTCTTTTGCTTTGGCTGCAAGGAAGCTCAGAGTCATTCAGTAGAATCTCATCCAAGGCTTCCGTTTGGATAATTTTATTTTTACATTTTTAAAAACTGTGAGTTGCTTCATCTTTTTTTCTTGAAACATATTGAACAATAAATTCATATAGGAATTAAAATTATACTTATTTTTCAAAATGCTTTTACATATAATGCTGTGAAGTTCTCACTTATTAAACTCAGGGTATAATAAAGGCCCAAATTGATGTCCTCTTAGAAGAAATTCATCTGCTGTGGCAGTTTTGAGAAGGTACTGGTCTTCAATATGAAATGATTTTTTCTTACAAATATGCGTCATTAATATATCCTCCAGGACTCTTTACACTTTAGAAGCTAGATTAAAAGCCTATTGAGTGCTGGGCATGGGGGCTCATGTCTGTAATCCCAGCAATTTGGGAGGCCAAGGTAGGCAGATTATTTGAGGCCAGGAGTTTGAGACCTGGCCAAGATGGCAAAACTCCATCTCTACTCAAAACACAAAAATTAACTGGGTATGATGGTGCAGGGCTATAGTCCCAGCTACTTAGAAGGCTGAGGCATGGGGAGAATAACTTGAACCTGGGAGGCAGAGGTTGCAGTGAGCCAAGATGGTACCATTGCATTCCAGCCTGGGTGATAGAGTGATAGTATCTCCAAAAAAAAAAAAAAGCCTGTTGATACAATTCTACCTTTTAAATATTTAATTTATTTCTACTGTTTGTATAGTCATATCTTAGAAACTTGAGAATGACAATAAAACATTATTATGCTGGGAATAGGCAATCCATTAAAAATTCAGACACAGAATACTACAGGCCAGGGGTGTCCAATCTTTTGGCTTCTCTGGGCCCCAGTGACAGAATTATCTGGGCCACACATGAAACACACTAATGCTAACGATAGCTGATGAGCTTAAAAAAATCGCAAAAAAGGTCTTATAATTTTAAGAGAGTTTATGAATTTATGTTGGGCCATATTCAAAGTGTCCTGGGCTGCATGCATGGATAAGGTTGCTCTAGGCAAATAAAATGTCTTAGTTCTGAGTGAACTTATTGTAGATTGACATGGAACTGGTTTCATTTTTCTGCTATAACTTACTACCTTGCAGAATTTCTTTTACTTATTTATTTATTATTTATTTATTTATTTATTTTCGAGGCAGAGTCTCACTCTGTTGCCCAAGCTGGAGTGCAGTAGCACGATCATGGCTCACTGCAACCTCTGCCTCCCGGCTTCAAGCGATTTTTGTGCCTCAGCTTCCCAAGTAGCTGGGACTACAGGCATGTGCCATCATGCCTGGCTAATTTTTGTGTTTTTCAGTAGAGAGAGGGTTTTGCCATGTTGGCCAGGCTAGTCTCGAACTCCTGACCTTAAGTGATTTGCCTACCTTCATTTATAGACATCACATTGTGTATGGTGCCTGAGAAAGTACATAATAGTGAAATAAATATCCTAGACACTTACTTTATAGTTGTTTTTGATGACTCTTAAGAGTGATTAAAAAAAAAAAAAGAGTGATTAGGCCGGGTGCGATGGCTCATGCCTGTAATTTCAACATTTTGAGAGGCCGAGGGCGGGTCACTTGAGGTCAGGAGTTTGAGACCAGCCTGGCCAAAAATGGTGAAACCCCATGTCTGCTAAAAATACAAAAATTAGATGGGCATGGTGGCACATGCCTGTAGTCCCAGCTACTCCAGAGGCTGAGGCAGGAGAATCGCTTGAACCTGGGAGGCAGAGTTTGCAGTTAGCTGAGATTGTGCCACTGTACTCCAGCTTGGTTGACAGAGTGAGACTCTGTCTCAAAAAAAAAAAAAAAAAGTGATTCAGTCTTATAAAGGGGATCATTTCACGACCTCAAAGTCTGAATCACTTTGTATGGGAATAAAAAGGAACCCATTGCACTGAATCT